CGAGCAGCAAGGAAATCAACAAAATCAGCCACACCGCAGAGCATCGTGGATCTCGTGCACGCGCGCGCCCCAGAGCTTGTCAAAGATTGTGCTCTTAGCGCGAAACAGCGATGAATGTGCGCCTTTGTTTTTTTCGCGAAGCCAGGTCTTAGCAGTTGGCGACGTCGCTAATGCCCCCCCCCCCCCTGAGCGAGTTCGCACATGCTGGCGCAGCTCGCGCCGCGAGCGCAGATGTTTCGCCGTGGCGCAGGATGGAGCGTGGAATTCAATATTCCACTGAATGTGAGAAAGTCTCGCATTGGCCCGACATGCCAGGGCGCCGCGATTCTGGTACTGCCGCACACTTCGGTCCACAGTTGGCACACGCGGCGTTGTTGCGCACGCTGAAAGCGCTCGACCTGCCCGACAAATTGGACAGATAAGATACCTCGGACCACGGTCGTGGGGCCCCGGGCCCGCCCCCTCTCGGCGCCCCTCTCGCGCGAAAAGCGGGCGCGTAAGTCGGGCGCCCCAGACGTTGTGGCCAGCGTTCTCCCACTCGTCCGAAGATGGCGCGGCGGGGACCTGGCCGGGGCATGGCCCCCGGACAGCCCCTCAGGGCAAGCTCGGGGCTGCGCTCTGGGGCGCCGCCAGATCCACTTCGCTTTCGGAGTGGCGAGGTCACTGAAAGACTAACGGGCTCAGTTCTCCGCTAGCTCGTCGCCCTCGCGGGGCCGCCCACGAACTCCTTGTTTGCGATCTCCTCCAAATTCCGTTCCAAGGAACCATCGGGTGGAATCGCGGCATCCTCGCCGCTCGCGCGCGGCACCTGCGCGGGGAGTTGGGGGTCGCCCAATGGAACTGGAGACGCACGGGCATAGACCTCACCTCCCCACGTGGCCAACGATCACCATGATAGCCGATGGGCCCGGGCAATGACCCGCGAAAAAATGCACACCCCCTCCCCCCCGACGAAACCGACTCCACGTCGCGGTCGCCGTCCGAGAAGAGAACGGGGACATCTGGTTGGTCATCCAGCGGCACGCGGCCCCCTTCATTCCCTGTCTCGGTCGGGTCGCGCGGCCCCCTTTTTTCTTCGGAGCACTAGGGCGAGGCTCGTCATCGAACGAGAGATCTCGGAGGGAGGGCGTCGGCTCGATTCCCCGACATAGTTGACCGAATCTTGACCAGGAACATCCACGCCCAACTCATGGCGCGGTTCTGCTATAGGGCGCGCATCATATTTGGGTGGTTGGAACATAGTTCCCTCATCTGACAGAACCACTGTCGTCGAAGATTGAACTTTCGGCTGATGACCCGTATTTTGCCAACTCATGAATGATATGGGCTCTTTCTTGGCCATGTTGATAGGCAAAATGTGATCATGATCGTCGCGTAAGTGATATCCTTCGTCTTCTTCCTGTAGTAGTTTCTTGATCAGGCTTATCTTCAATGTGGGTGATGTATCCCTAAATGCCATGGCCAAATGGATATGATGATGTCCGTTCAGCTAAGCAACAGGAAATGAGGGGGGCCGGCAGGCCTGGGGAGGGCATCGGGGAGGGCGCGCGCGCTGGGCGAGCGGGCCGCAATCCTTTGTTGGGGGCCAACCCACAACAAAGCTGCGGGTCAGAAGTGGGCACTGTGGTATTACTAAACCAAATGCCATTATCATCGCCATCATCATCCACATCGTCATCACCACATCATCCTCACCATCATCCTCACCATCATCGTCCTCACCATCATCATCCTCACCTCAGAATCATCAGCATCGCCATCAAGACCACCATCGTTTTCACCGTCCTCATCATAATCACAAGCATAACCAACATCAGCAACATCATCTTCATTATTACCATTACCGTCATCACTGCCTATCATTATCAGCAACAGCATCATCATCAGCATCAATATCATCATCATCACCATCGTCATCCACCTCTCCCATGTCCCTGATGACCTCATCCTAAGTATCCCCCTCCTCCTCCTCCTCCTTTTCAAACTGTGGCTTTCGCCCTCGCGCCGCGCGCACTCGTATTGATAACTTGCGACTTGTTAATTGAGAGCGGGTCTTTTCCAAAATGTTGCTCTCGCTTTAGCGCCGCGCACATTCGTTTGTGAAGCATGCAAACACTTAAGATAGAGGGCGATTCCTTTTCGAAGAGTGATTATCGCCTGAGCGCCGTGCGCATTCGTCTTGGTTGTTTGCAACATGTTCTAGGATGGAGGGTGGGTCATGTTCAAAATGTGGCTCTCGCCCCAGCGTTGTGCACATTCGTCTTGAAAGTTTGCATCAGTTTGAGGGATGGAGGGCGAGTCCTTTCCAAAATGTGGCTCTGGCCACAACGCGCATGCCTTGTACAACCCCGTGTTTCTCACAGGGCCCACTGGGGCAGCGGAGTATCTTCAGAATTCAGATACCTGGGTGCAGTCTTTCACGCTGTGACCGCGCGCAAGCAGACAGGAAGACAGCATTCAGTTGTTGCTAATTACACCCGCTTAGATGGGATATACAAGAGCTGCGGCGTCTCGGTCTGCCTTCGCCATCGTCGGTTCACTCGCTACAGCCCTCCTCCAGCACTGGCTGGCCGTGCTGGAGCGGTACGCCGAAAGTCCAGCTCACCTGGTATTATGTTCATAGTTCTGAGTGGCATCCTATGCCCTGGCGGGTAAAGTCTCCCATCGGAAGCTGGTGAAAGACCTAACCTCATGGGTGCACTCTCTTATCAATAGAGTTGGAAGCAGGTGCACCCCACTGATCGGTATCGACTTGAACGACGGTCTAGGCTACGCCCCCGAGGAGATGTTAGAGGGCGAGCTCTTCACCAGAGCGCTGGACGACGAGGAGACTCACGACAACTCCATGGGCTACGCAGATGCAATCGTCGAGGGACAACTGTTGCACCAGATGTTACGCGACACGCGTATGACGGCATGCAGCACCTTCTTCCCAGTCGGTACAACGTTCCACGGCACCTCGGGTCACACCTCAAGCATTGGCTTCATACACGTACCGACCTGAGGTCACACATTACATGCTGCAGAATCTTGTGACGAACTTGGCGACGGAGACTAAGACGAAGAAGTCCTGGGACTTCGTTCTGAGGTCCGGTGGAACAGATGCGGTGGAGCAGATTCAACACGCCATACTCGAGGTCCAGGAGCGAGAGTAGATCAAACTTTGCACGGGACCCACGACGGACGAGCTCTGGAATTTTTCTTCGATTGTTATCAGGGAAGTGGTTCTGGACATGTTTCAGCGCAAGAAGTGGGAACTGGAACGAAAAACGAACATCACTCTGACACCACCGTAAGGCCCTCAGGGGCCAGCGCATTGGCAGGGGCTGCTCTGACAGAGAAGAGGTCGAGCTGGAACTGGAGCTGGCCAAGCATACGATTGCTATCCAGACAGATTATCTAGCAGACCAACAGCAGACTTCTCCGCGAGCTCAACGCGGCATGGGCTGAGCATGACCACCACATTGCTCAACGCCTCATTCGCAGATTGGCTCGTCGTGGTCACGGCCCCCCGCCAGCGAAGGTACTGCACGGCAAAATCGGAGAACGGCGAACCACAGGACCTTGCAGGCTTCTTGGCAGCTACGTGCTGGGCAAGGGGGACTCGGAGCGAGCGAATGCGACCTCCAGCACGAGCTGTCCGAACGCTTCGGCAGGACCCACCTCGGCGACGAAGCCCAACGGACCGACCAGCAGAGATACGACGCGATGCCGTCTAGCGACTTGCAGCAAGCGGAGAAGGACCTTCAAGGCATCATTTGTGAGCTGAGACGGTCACCACAGAGGAGGGCTACACCGGCCTGGAATATGCCTTCGGAGCTCTGGCTCATACTTCTCGACGCTGATCAATGGCAGAAGTTTCAGCGGAGGGGAGTCAGCGAGAATCCCGCATCTTTGATAGCTAATTATCGCCTTCCACGGGCGCATGATTGACATCATCGCCACATTCAGGCGTGCCTCCGCCCCGCTTGTCTTCGATTTTCTCAGTGTGTTGGCCTGGACAAAGGCAACGGCAGAGCTAGCCCCGTGGGACAACGCTGGATTAAAATATTCTGCCCCATGGGCAAGGCTTGGAGCGCACACCTTTGGCACCGAGGGCGACGACACAGAGAGGCCCTCTCAACGACTTCGCTCTACTGCCACGACTTCACTCGGCGGAGGCGGAGAGAGGATACCATCGCGGTGCAGGAGTGCTCATCGTGGAGGCTTCGGAAGTGGGACCTATCTCACACAATCGTGTGCGAAGACGCCACCAGCGCCTCCGCCAGCGTAAAAAGAGATATCGTCCCCTCCTACGAGTCTCTCTACCTCCCCGAAGATGCCAGACTACAACACCATCGGACTCTTAAGAAGGCCCTATGGCGCACCCTAATTCTACTCGAGTTTTCCTGCATTTCTACCAGGAACGGTTGCAGGCTTGTATGCGGTCTTTATGTATTTGTGTTCGGCTTGTATGCAGGCACCCTCCTCCTCCCACGACCCTCCCTCTCCCCACCCCGAGGGGGTGGATGGAGATGATGGATGAGAAAGAGGCGGAGCTCCAGAGCTCCAGATGAAACCACGATGTCGGCGATGGAAGAAAGTAACTAGAAATGATGTGTTTTGGCAAACTCACGTTTGCTGTAAGTCGTTGGCCAGAGACCATGAGAAATTACACCAAAGCAATCAATGCGATTACCTGAGCTTTACCTGGGGCATTCCTGGGCTAAACGAGACAGCTGCTGAGCTGCATAAAACTCTGGAGATGGGGGAGGGAGGAAGAGGAGGAGGAGGAGGACGACGACGACGACGGCGGCGCCAGATCTCCCCCCTGACATCAGACGTTGCGACAAGAGTACAGCATCGCGAAAAATCACGACCGGAGGCCTAGACCCCACTTTCCCGCGGCACTTTTCGAGCCGGATGCATCTGTGATGGCCCCAGAGCCCGAAGCCGGGCGAAAACGCCTCGTCTGCAATAGTGGCAACGCCGGCATCTAAGGGCCCCCAGCCCGACGCGGCCTCGACCCGCAAGCCGGCGGAGAATCGGCGCCCCACATGCTCAGCGGCGCGTGCTCCGGGAACGGCGCCGTGTGCTCTACCTCTTCGCCGCACGAGTGACCCTGGGCAAGAGCGACCTGTGGTACGCGGCCTCCCAGCCGTTGCGCACGGTGCGACGGCGGCGGCCTGCGTGCCTGGGCTTGGCCCCGCAGCGCCCCCCCGAAAGACGCGCACCAAAGGTGACTCCAGCCGAAGGTCTCTCTTGCGCGCACGGTAGGTTCGCGTCGTGTCGACTGGCGGCGACCCCGCCGCTGGCATTCAACGCTGAGCGCCGGCGGCGGCACAGGATCGATCGATGTTGAAAGGTCTGACGCTTCGGAAATTGAGGCCTCCTAGATGGGGTCGGAGTAGATAGGGTCGGAGAATCGCGCCGCATCGCCGATAAGTCGGCGATTCACGGGCGTTGCACCGGCGACGTCGGAGGCGTCGACGTGGAGCAAATCGGGCAGAGGAAGGAGGAGGAGGAGGAGGGAGAAGTGAGGAGAAGGGAGGAGGAGGAGGAGGAGGAGGAGGAAGAGGAGGAGGAGGAGCAGGAGGAGGAGGAGGAGGAGGAGCCTCCGGCGGCGCTCCGACTCTGGCCAGCGAGAGGCCCGTCGCCGAGGGGCCGCGCCGGACCATTCCCAGCCCCGGGTGTCGGGCGAGCGCCCGCGGGGCGGCCCGGAAGGGCGCGGCCCCGACGGCGGCGCGCGCGGGGGCTGGGGGGGCTCGGGCCGCGGCGGCTCCGTGCGGCGGAGGCGGCAGCGGCGGCGGTTCCGTGCGACGGCGGCGACGGCGACGACGACGGACGACGGACGAAGGCGACGGCGGCCCTGGGCGGGGCTCGGGCCGAGGCGGCTGGGCGCGGTCGTGGAACGGGGAGCGGGGGGAGCGCAGGACGCACAGCGGAATGCCGAAGAGCACCTGGCGAGGTCGCACGGTGGTGGCGAAGGACGGGGCGGGGACGGGGCCAAGGCGAAGGCGAGGGCGCGCGGGGCTGGAGGGACGGCGAGGGCGAGGGTTGACTGGGTCACCTAACTTCGCACAACGACGCACAACGACGCGCGACACGCGGTGATCGGCGCGCCCTAGCGCCCTCGCGCCGCCCCGTGAGACGGGCGTTCGCGCCGCTGGGGAGGGGGCCAGGTTTGATGAGGGGAGGGGGGAGGTGCTTGGACGTGTGTATGCCCCTTTTGGGGGGCCCTCGTCGCTGCGGCTGGGCCCCATCTCGAAGTCCCAGCGTCCCGAGACAACTCCGAGGATGGATGCTTGAGGGGGAGGAGGAGGAGGAGGAGGAGGAGGAGGAGGAAGCAAAAAAAGAGGAGGACAGGACCATAACAGCTGCGAGCAATGACGCTTGGTGGTGTCTGTAATCAATTGGCACTCGTGTCTGGTCGGGCTGGAGGTGGGAGGGCGGCGAGGACGACGGCGAAGACAAATTGTGCGGATGAGAGTGAGGACGTGATGACACGAGGGTGCGCGCAGGAATGGGTCATCACAGAGGGGAAGGCGAATGGGGGGGGCAGAGGGGAGGGGGGAGGTAGAGGGGGAGAGGTGAGAGAGACGGCGAGGTGGAGCTGGAGGGGAGAGCAGCATTGATGCACCACGGCTTTCTAGCAGAGACAGGCTTCGTGCGAGCGTTAAGTACCTTCGCGTACACGTTTCATGTGTTAATGGGCCGGGAGGGTGACTAAGAAGGAGGAGGACGAGGAGGTTCGGTTCGGTTCGGGCCCCCCTGGGTGCCCTTGCCGAAACACTGCTGCACTCGACGTCTTGGCGTCGTGCGCGAAAAGACGAAACAGGCGAGCAGGACGAAGATAGAGAAGGAGGAACGGAACGGAACGGAACGGAACGACGGCGGTCAAAAACAGTGGCTTCTGTGTGGCAGCGCCTTGACACATGCTGCAGCATGGGAGTGCTCTCCGCCGTGCCACAGAGGCAATCACCTGCGATATCGCAAGGGGGAAACCTCTGGCCCAAAGCAGGACGGTTGCATGGGGAGGAGGAGGAGAAGGACTGGAGGAAGAGGAGAAAAACTCGATGTCGGTGCTGACGGTGATGCTGATGTTGATGCTGATGATGATAATGAGGGCGATGGCGATGATAGTTTTCACGTTAATGGAGATGATGATGGTGATGGTGATCGACCGTACCCAGAGAGCGCGGGTCGACCGACTCACTGGCCTCGGCGGAGGGCACGGGCCCTAGAGTATGACGTCGAAGTCGAAGGCTCCGTAGTTGTCCTTGCTGGCGGGGTGATGATGAATGGCGATGGCGTAGATGCGAAGGCGTACGTGTCCAGCAGGTACGAGAACTCGTCGAGGCAGCTCTCGGACTGACTGTGCACCTGAAGATCGGCGTAGTAGCAGTCCGGGGGCTGCGGCGGGCCCAGGGAGATCTCGTAGCTCTTGTCTTCAAGGGTCCCGCGGTGGAGCTCCAGGGAGACGATCCACTGGTCGAGGCTTGAGCCGATCCCGTCGAGCTTGTCGTCGTAGTTCGTGATGTCCAATTGCCACCGAGAATTCAGCCGACCTATGTCCAGCTGCAGCTCGGAGATGTGCCTGTGTGCCGCGGCGAGGGACGAGTGGGTGGTCACGAGCATCGCGTTCGTGTTGCCGGCGATGGTATTCAGCGCCTCCGTTCTGTTGTCCAGGAACATCTTGGTCATGTTGGAGAACAGCGCCGCGAACTTCTTGGTCATGTTGGAGAATTGCGCCGCGAGCAGCTCGAGCGTGACGAACTTGTTCTGGGCCTCGCAGAGGTTCTCGTCGAACTTCGCCGCGAGCGATTGCGCGGAAGCAAGGATGTTTTTGTCCAGCTCGGGGCGCGAGACGAAGGAGCGCGTGGCGACGTGGATCTTGTCATCGATATGCATGGCCAGCGAGCGCTCGGTTTCCCGCGTCTTCTCTGTGATCGTGGGGAGCAGCGTGTCACGTCGTCCGCCCAGGCGTCGTATGTAGCAGGCACGGCGGCCGAGCCATGCTTCCCCAGGCTTGAGCCAGAGCGGCGGGGCGACACCGATGACAAGGAAGAGGAGGCCGAATCTGTGGAGACGACCTGGTGCTTGGAGCCGACGCTGGTGTCGGTAGAGAGCTCGAGAACCCCCTCGTCAAAGCTGTCGGCCCAGGGGACGCGCTTCGCTGGAGTGGATGGCGGCTGTGACGTCGGCAAAGATGACGTGGAACCGCGAGTCCAATTTCGGTGCCGAACCATGCTGCCCTTCTGGTAGGTGCATTTGAAAACCGTCAGCCTCTGCGCGGTTGATGTGACCAGAAGCGCGAGCGGCGTCGCGTCATTGAGCTCCGTTCCGCCGATGGATACCACTCCTGATCTCCAGCGCCCGCGTGGCGTCAGTGGATAAGGCAAGGTACTTGAGCTGGCGCTTAATGTTCGAGGGGATTCCCATGTACGTGCCGCTCGGGACGGGAGCAAAAAGTGACGTTCCAGCGCATGAAGTCGGCGACGTTCCACAGCGAGTGTGGATCGTGTCCCCCGCGTTCGGTAACCTCCCGCGCCCCGCTGCTACGTACCAAGAGGTTCCTGAAAACTGGTCGCCGCATACCGGTGATGCAGCCCTTGAGGTGCATGTCGCCGCGCGTGCGGCTGAGGGAGCTGGCCGTTGTAGAGAATGCAGAGCCGCCGCCATTGCAGCGCGGATGAAGAAGCACTGTGGACGAAGCGTGGACGAAAGAGATGTTCACCACGCGTGCGATGTCGCCTCCAACCCCGCGAAAGGTGGCACTTGAGCCAAAATGGCTACGGATGATGCTGATGATGATGATGATGAAGAAGAAGAAGAAGAAGAGAAAGAAGAAGAAGAAGAAGAAGAAGAAGAAGAAGATGAAGATGATGACGATGTTGATGATGATGAAGATGATGAAACTGATGATGATGTTGATGATGATGATGATGGTGGTGATGATGATGATGAAACTGATGATGATGTTGATGATGATGATGGTGGTGATGATGATGATGATGATGATGATGATGACCGTGGTGATGATGATGTCTGTGATGATGATGACGATGGATGAGGACGAGGAAGAGGAGCAGGAGGAGGAAAAGGAGGTGAAGGGTACCAAGGTTGGCAGTGCCCCGCGCGCCTAGAACGGCCAGCGCCTCCTGCCACGCCCTGCGGCGGCCAAGGTCGGTGATCACCTGCGCACGTGGCCGCCACCGTCGCCATTGCCGTCGACGCCATCACCGTCGTCAGCATCGCCGTCGTCATCGCCGTCGTCGGTGGCGGCGGCCGCTGCGTCGGGCCGTCGTCGGCGTTGTCGCCGTCGTCGCAGTTCCGCGGGCGCCGAGGCCGTCGCGGGTCGGCGATCGCCTGCGTGCGCCGAACCAACTCCTTGGCCGCCCGCGCGCGCCCGCCGCCCATGCGGGCGGCGTCTCCGCGGCGAGGCGCGCATGGAAAGCGCGGCTTCGGGAGGGAGAGGGGCTTGACAGGGAGAGAACGGGGGGGAGGGGGGGCGGGTAACGGAGGGGAAGCCATTGCCCAATTCGCACGAGCCATGCACAGTTGCTGCCCGCACAGTGCCCGCGATGCTGTCCACGAATGGCGCACGATCTCACCCGGATGCAAACAATTTCCTCGAGCGTCGTCAGTCTTGCTAAATTGGCACCAGCGACACCACCCGCCAACCCGTCCAACCCAATCTTGGCATCGCCCAACGCACATAGTCCTGGGAAGCCCCTCTAGGGCAAACGCTACCACCATACATGCGAGAAAAACCGACAAGTGCACATGTGTATGCATCGCATATACAAGAGGCCTCCAAGAGGCCTCCAAAGAGGGCCCCACGAAGCAACAATGACGGTTTTTGACCTTCTCGCCTTTTCGGCTTTCCGACGCTCCGAGACGGACCAAGAGGTTCCAAAGATCGCCCCACGACGGACCTAGAAGCTCCCATGACGGCTAAAAAGAGGCCACCAAGACGGCTCCAAGACGGCCGACGAGGGCCCGAAGACAAGACAGTCCAAGAGGTGCCCCAGACGGCCCCAAAGGGCCTTGAGACGGTCCAAGGAGAGGCCCAAGAATCTACGAACCGAAAACTCTACCTTTCCGCCCCGACAAGGCCCCAGGAGGCCCCAAGAAGGCGCCAAGAGGCCCCAAGAGGCCCCAAAGAGGCCCCCAAGAGGTCCCAAGGAGACCCCCAAGAGACCCCAAAGATGCCCCAACAGGCGCCAAAACGGTTTCCAAGAAGCTCCAACAATGACCCGCAAACGCTGCCGAGAAGCCTGCCACGAGAAGCACCCACGGCGCTATCCACGTAGCCGCACGCACAAGTAAAAGGGGGGCTGGCGGCAGAGGGCGAAGCCCTTTATCCGGCCGCTCCCGCCCTGCGGGTTGGGCCGTGCGAGACCTCTCGGACAGAGTGTTTGGCACTGTCTTTGGTCCCCTTCGCCAGTGCCTGGTCAAAAACCTCCTGAAAGTCCCTCCGAGGGGGCCCCACTCTGCCGCCGGCCCCCCTCCCGGCCTCAACCCCCTCAACGTTTGGAACAACCCGGGGACGACCCAAGAGCGCCCCAGGCCGGTCCAAGAGAGCCCCAGGACAGTCCAAGAGAGCCTCCAGACGGTTCCAGATCGCTCCAAGACGCCCAAGATGGCCCCCAGACGGCCCAAAACGCCTCCAAGACGGCCAAAGAGGCCTCTAACAGCACCCCCAAAAGGGCCCAAATAAGCAAAACTCAATGATTGTTCCATGGTTTTTGAAGGATTTTGGCGCGCTCGCCATTTCGG